CCCTGTCACTTTAATGTAAGACATGTTTCATGTCAGCTACCTCGGGTTCTTACATTTATTATGCGTATAGCTCATTATTATGCTGAGGTTTTCACCAACTAATATCAAAGGCACATCAGATGCAATTATCGACCCCAGGTGTCACTATTATGCTGAGATCTTCACCAACTAATATAAAAGTCGTATCAGATACAACTATCCACCCCACGTGTAGATTCACTGTGCATCGAGCGCACGAGCTCATTTGGTACCATACATCTCCGAAAAACTAACAATGTCAAGCTCTTTTATAACGTCTTGATCTATTGCATTCAGTGCTGAATTGAGCATTCAAACTTTAACATCCACTTTAGTTGTCTTATGATTTATGAGCTATTTTCCCTTACTTTTCATTCAGACTTTCGAGTCAATTAGTGAAACAATGAACCAGTTATAAGTTGAACCCAAACTATTATAACCAGGAAAATAAAACGACATTCTCATTACCACTTTGAACCCCACTAATCCATCCATCGGCTGGTACGTCGCAATCCCGCCGAGCCCAAGAGCCTGACTATCCACTCCGAGTTTCGAATCAGTCGAATTTTGCGAAAGCCACTCTTCTATTAAATCCAAAGACAACTAGAAATTGTTCATAAGAATTTTTCAAGTTAGACTAAGCACAAACACTCACTCCCAAATCCATGAACAGCAACAATTATTCTCAAGAAAAAAAAATGAATCGGATTGAAAAATACGGATTGAAAAATACGCATCGTTACCCTGTTTTCAGACAATCCAAGCTGAAAAACGCCATCTTGATTGGCGATTTCATCGTAAGGGTCCTCCCGCACTCGATCCAGACCAATGTAGTAGGGCGAATCGTTAGGCCTGGCAACGGAGGCCGCCCGAGAGGACAAGCTCGCGCGGCCGGTGGAGCCGCGCGCCAGCAGGTTGGCACGGGAGGAGGAGCGCGGCAGCTCGGGGAGGTTCCCCGCCGACGGTGAGGGCGGCGGGGGGTCGGAAGGGGGTGAACGGTGCCGTTTGAGGTAGAATTGGAGGAAATAGAAGAGGGCACAGGGGATTAAGGAACCTAGGATGAGTCCACCCCTGCCTTGGACCACTCCCTGTAGAGGTACGATGAGCCTCATGCCTGTCCGAGTGGGGCTTCTGGACGCTTCTCTTCGTTCCGGGCTCGGGGTTCGGGTCATGTGAGTCGCCGGTGTACCAGGCCAGAAAAGGGGCGACCCGGCGGTGGAGATAAGAATCGGAACGATTGGCTACTGGCGGCGAGGGACTGTGTGTTGTTGGGGTGAGTTTGAGGTGGTGATTTTGCTTGGCTGGCGACGCAAAGAGTGGATTCTGTTTTGGAATCTTCTGCCGGGCTCTCCTTTTGTCTTTGTCTTGGGCTTGGGCACACATTTCTATTTTTTATTTTATTTTTGGCTCACATAGATGATCATTGCTTTAAAAGTTAAGCTTAGGTTAATAATTTGCTAAAATTATCAAATATGATCCATAAATCAAAACTTTTGATTATTTTAAACGTGACATGATAATATTTTTCTTATCACTTTGTTTTCTATTAAATTTTGGATCGTTGTCTTCAAATATCTGGGCAACCGAAATAACTGAATTTAATAATTAATTTTGAAAATAATATGTGTAGTGAACGATATAAGTCGAACTGAATAGATCAATAATCGGCCGTTGATCGGGGAGTATTCCCTTATCCTTAATTTCTTCACAGTGTTCTAAAAGTCGCTAGACGACAGACTAGGGCCTAACGCCTAGGTAGGGTCGAAAAAATATTAATAAATTTATTTATATTTGTTATCACATAATTTATAGGATATATTATGTAAATATATTAATTAATATGACAGGATACAAATATTATGCAAAATTTAATGCTTCCTGCTAACTAAATAATTAATCAAACTTGCTAGCCGTCTTCCAAACATGTAAACAAACTAATCAAACACCACTGTATGCGTGGAGAGAATAAATCAAACAAAAGACCCATCAACTTAATTATTATTTTTTTTTAAAGAGAAAAACACTATATGTTTACAAAAATCACATCCTACCAACGTAAACAAGAATTGAGCATGATAGTTATTAGACACTAAAAGGGTTTAATAATACCCCTCCAACTGCACAAGGGTGTTTTTGTGAGTCAAAACTGGACCAAGAATTGTATAACATTCCCCAACCAACCCTTCCTAACTTCCTTGTTACTTGATGGTTGGATCCATCCGATATCCCCTGTAACAATAACAACATAGAAAACCTTGCAAGGTTCGTTTATGGACGATCCTTTAAACACCAACACCTCCATCTGCTGCAACCAACCGACTGGATGAATATAAACCAAATATTTATCCTCGCAACGGCAAACGTCTCGAATTTCCCTCATCCTCCAACTTCCCAACACAATCTGATCTTCCCATTCCCTCCAATAACAATAATCCCCACACACCATCTCCCAAACTCGAAACACTCCATGCTTAACTTCATCCACTAGAGTGAGGGCTTTCCCAGCTGATAGGTACCGATTCATGTAGGTGTAGTTGAGATAATCCAAGGGGATTGGGGCCAGCGTCTCGGTCATAACCTCTGTCTCCATATGAAGCGTTCGGACAATGTTCCCAAAAATCGAATGAACAAAACCCTTCGTGACCATTACGCGGCCGATGGTAGACTTAGTCAAATGGTCGGTTGCAAGATGCCTCC